CTTGGTGGGCATTTGCAAGTACGAGGTTTTCAACAGCTATCAGAGCGAGTTGCTCCAGCACCTGCAAGAGACGCCCCCACCGGGCTATAGCAACACATCCCTGATCCAGATTTTGCGTGCCGACAGGGCAGCCTTCCTTCTCATGGCCGAGCACATCACATCTTTGAAAAGAGATGCGGCAGGTGAACTTCCGCTCGAGAAGCTGCTGCCCACCATTCTGTCCAAACCAGCCGTGAGTTTCCATTGGCTGCCTTTAGCACACAGTGCTCCAGCCAAGCCAACTCCCAAAGCCAATCCGAACAAGCGAAAGGCTGAGGATATGGGGGCGCCACCTACCGTCCCATCTAAGCCGCCATCGAAAGGCAAAGGCAAAGGAAAGACCAAAAGCAAGAAAAGAGGCCGCGGGCCGAATGTCCCCAAAGAGCTCATCGGCAAGTCAATGGAAGGTCCTGATGGACAACGGCTGTGCTGGCCATTCAATATGGCGACGGGCTGTCGCGAGGCTGCAGCTGGTGGGCAGTGCTCTCGTGGGCTCCACCTCTGCGCAGAACCTGGCTGCCACAAGCCACATAGTCTTCGTGATCATTCGTGACAGCCATCGAATCCGCACTCGCCAGCAGATGCCGGTAATTCTCCTGTGCAGAACCGTTTCGCTGGCAAAGACGCCAATAGCCTCTTTTGTGTGGAAATTTTTGCCGGGACAGCCCGCCTCACAGCAGTTTTGCGACAGCTAGGCATTCGTGATTCCTTTGGAATTGACCATAAGATCCACCCGAAAGTCAGTGGACCAGTCATTTCTCTAGATTTGACAGTGCCAGCATCATTCCAATATGTTTTGACCTTAATTCGTGATCCACGTTGCATCTATGTGCATTTTGCACCACCCTGCGGCACATCATCCAGAGCTAGGTTCATCCAAAGAAAGGGGCGCTATAACCCCCCAATTGTTCGAACCGATGCCTTTCCAGACGGTCTCCCCGACCTGCCACCAGAGCTCAAGTTGAGGGTCGATACAGCCAACCATCTGTATGATCTTACCCAGCAGCTCTGCCGTGAATGTCATCATGCAGGCGTGTTATTTTCAATTGAAAACCCGGCTCGGAGCTTTATGTGGGATACCAAGCATTTCAAGAAATTCCTTGCTGACATTCCCCATTTCCAAACTCGGTTCCACCATTGCCAGTTTGGTAGCTCTAGGCGAAAATTCACCCTTTTGATCCATAATATTGCCTGCTTGCAAACGCTCGAATGCCGATGCGATGACAGCCACCCTCATGAACCGTGGGGACAAACACCCACAGGCTGGGCTACTTCTTTGGAAACAGCGTATCCATGGGCGCTCTGCAGGGCCATTGCCGCCCAGGTTGCCTTGCACTTGCAAAATCTCGGTGTCATTTGCAAAACCCCACGTTTTGCCGAACAAGCCTTACAGTTAGAACAAATCAGGCATGACACCTGGTCTCAAAGCAGCTCAAAGGCCCTACCCATGGTTAGTGAATTCCAAAAAGTCATCCATATCCCGGTAGACCAGCCGTTACCCCCACTTTCTAGGCTTTTATCCACTCCTTCCTTGGGGGAGATCGCGAGTGAAGGCTTTAAGACCGTTGGAGTACACAGGTCACCAGCAGACTTCGTGAAAGAAGCACTTGAGGTGAAGCATCCTAGTGCTACAGTTTCTCAGCTTCCGGCTCCGATGCTTGCTGCGGTTCATAGGGCAGCCACTGAACCAGTGGAATCTCTGTGCCAAACCAGATCTGAGGCGCTTAGGATGATGCTTGCGAAGGCCAAAGAGTTTCAGCCCGCTGAAGAAGAGCTGAAGCAGTCCCTGTCAGCTAGACGCAAGGAAGTTCTGAAAGGGAAGAGATTGGTGCTCTTCCAGTGGCTTCTTGAACAGTCCGGGGCAACCGATACCCAGTTGGTGACCGACTTGTGCAATGGTTTTGACTTGACTGGCACCCTGCCAGAGTCCAACACATTCTCGAAGAGATTTCGCCCTGCTCAGCTTCCGACCGACACTCTCAGAGGTGTTGCGGAGAAAGCAAGGACGGCCTTGCTCTCTAACATAAGAAGTTCAGGTGATGTCGGCCTGGACCGCGGCGTGTACGAGGCCACTCGGAATGAATGTGACAAGGGCTTCCTGGTCGGGCCTGTGGATCCTGATGGCCTCCCAAAAGGTGCCACACTGACCCGCAGATTCGGTGTGGCCCAAAAAGACAAAATCAGGCCAATCGATGATTATCGTGCCAGCATGGTCAATTCTTCGGTTACCCAGGCAGAAGCTGTGTCTATTCACGAGGTGGACCACATCGCAGCCATGTGCGCCGAGTACCTGAGATGCTCATCAGCCCAGACATCACAAGTGGAGCTGGTGGCGAAGTGTTGGGACCTAGCATCTGCGTACAAGCAAGTCCCGCTATCAGACTCGGCATTTCACTTGGACTCGTATCTGGTAGTCTACAACCCCCATACGGATGCCCCTGAAGTGTACCAGCAGAAGGTATTGCCCTTCGGGTCCATAGCCTCTGTGACTGCCTTTTTGAGGTGCGCCCTGGCACTGTGGCACATAGGCAGTGTGCTGCTCTGGTTCACTTGGACGTCGTACTTTGACGACTTTCTGAGCATCTGTGATGTCAAAGCCTCCCGACACACAGAGTTGTGCACATCTCTTTTCTTCCAGCTGCTTGGTTGGAAGCTGTCGGAAGACAAGTTGGTGCCGTACGAAACTTGCTGCAAGGTTTTGGGAATCGAATTGAACCTGTCGAAGACTCCCGAGGGAGTTATTGCTTTGGCCAACACGGCGTCCAGACGAGGCGAACTGTTGGAGTTCATCGATCACATTCTGGCAACCAAGAAGCTCAGCAGGTGTGATGCGGAGCGCTTCCGGGGCCGTTTGCAATTCGCCTCGAACTACCTGTTTGGCAGAAGATTTCGCAACTGCCTGAAAGACTTGAACCAACACATCAGCAGGGGATTTGTCTCCATCTCTGATGAGTTCAGCTTGACACTACTCCTGCTGAAGGCTCTGATCAGCCAAAACAGTCCCAGGCTCGTAGACACCAACTTCTTCGAGTGGGTCCACTTGTACGTTGATGCCTCTTACGACCCAGACAACCATTCTGGAGTGGGAGGTATGCTTTTGGACCAATCGGGGAATTGCTTGGGCTTCTTCAGCGAGCCGGTGCCTTCTAATTTGGTGGACAAGATCAAAGCCGAAGACCAGAAGACTATCATCTTCGAACTGGAAGGGTTAGCAGTGGCCATCGGCATAGCCTTGTTCTCTAATTTCTTACTCGGCAAACGCCTGATAGTCTTTACCGATAACCAAGCGGTGCAGGCGTGTTTGATAAAATGTAAATCCACTAACCCCAGCATGGATCTTATCATCAAACACATTTGTTCCTCTGAAGAGAAACTAAATTTGCTTGCATGGATTGAGCGAGTGCCCAGCCAATCCAATCCAGCTGACCTTCTCTCCAGAGAAGTCGTCATGAGCCACCTAGGTGTTGACAGAACAAAGGTGGACCTGATAGCCATGTGGCATCAATGCACCATACCATCCTATGTTGGGGAGGAGCGCGATGGATGTGCGGATTGAGAGCTTCGACCCCAACGGACAAAAGAGTGTGCGCGAGTGTCGATTCACTGAAGTGTATTTCCGTTCCTCCTTTCACTTGAGTCGTGAGTTGTTCAAAGCAAGGGTTAAAAGGAAATAAGACGAAACTCAACGAAGTTGATGCAGTTTTATTTCAAACAAACCCTTGAGTATATTCATGCATTCACAGGCATGTACATATACGTCTTTGAACAACCTTTTTGACACACTTGATATGTATATACATATATATACACGTGTGTTTCCATGAAACGGTGACACCAACAGTTGGAGTTGTTGGCATCATTGGGACATGTCACATTTTCATTTGACATCAGTTTCAATGCTCAAGTGAGCGGCGCATGTGCGCAAAATTTTGTTCGTCCCACCACTTTCAGACCCACCCAACATTTCCAGGTGGCAAGTGCCAACACCGTTTTCCACAGGTGGCATGTGCCCCTTATCACTTTTCATTTCAATGTACATCCAACACTGACTTCTTTTCTAGCTGTGCACAGCCATGTCTGCGTATTCTTTGCAAACGATGTTGCAACCTGTTCAACAACTAGCTGAGATGCGTGTGCACCTTCGTCAGTGGCAACAAGTTCTCCAACAGATGCAGGCTGTACGTCTCTCTGCAATGACTTCGATCAGAACTCCGCTGCTGGATGCCCAACAAACGTTGGACAATCTCCATCTCGAACTTGATCGCCTTGAGCATCAATTTCTTTGCATCCTCCAAATGCAGCTACATCATTACCTCACATTGCACGGGACCTTGCCTGACATCGATCTCGACCACTAAATTTAGAGCCTACCCATCCGTGCGGAGCGCGATGGATGTGCGGATTGAGAGCTTCGGAAATAAAGGTCTTATTCGGGAGTTTCTTTGACTGGGCCTGATACGATGTGAATTTCTGTTACCATGTGGTTATGACTAACATAGCCATGGAAAATCCACCAATTTTTAAGAACGGTAAACCATCTATTTCGATTAGGGCCATCAAAAAACCATGGCGAACTGTTAGTCATAACCAGAGGGTACATCCCTACCTTCTCCAAAATGCAGGGTCCAATCAACGACATCCGATTCAAATCGCAACATGACCAGCCTGGAAAATTGATGAAACTTGGCCAGCGTCCCACCATGGATGATAACACCGCTAGTCAGCCACTAGTCACGAACGAAGTCTTCTAAACTCAACGAAGTTAACGAACGGAACGGGCTATTGAACGTATGAAGCTGAAAAAAAAGGGGATGGCCTTCAGCTGGGGGTTTTGCTCAGTCAAGCCATTCCCCAGAGACCAGAGATAAATCTTTAGTACTTTGGTGGATAATCTTCCAAATCCTATGGGGGAATCCACCCGACTTCTCCCATGCGTGGGATCCCCGATTTGTGGTCGCCAGGAAGACCAAGAGAAAGCCCCTACCTGGAAGGAGACGCTGCCAGTCATGGCCAGTCATGGCTGATTTGAGTGGCATGGATTAGAATCATGAAAAGAAATGAACATCATCACATGGATTAATGTAGAATCCTTAAAATCATCACATTAATATAAATTGATTAGAATTGGAGTCATGGATTCTAATCCAGATTTCATGGCTCCATCCTTTCTGACACCCCAAGCTGCAGAATTTCTCGCCGTCGCCCGGGAAAGCTCCGTGATTCACTTCCCACAGGAGATCTTTGTGTCGAAGACGCAGAAGTCCGTGATGGTTTTCAATTTGGCACCTCGTGCTGAAGCCTGCTGCAGTTACACCACACACCTTACTCATATATATATATATGTAATATAATGTAACATGTATGTATGTATGTATGTATATATATATGTACTATGAGGTAATATGATGTTGATGTTTAATATGATGTAATATGATGTAATATGATGTAATATGATCTAATGTGATGTAATGTGATGTAATGTGATGTAATGTGATGTGACGTAATGTGATGTAATGTGATGTAATATGTATATGAATATATGAGTATATTAAGAACAAGTTTTTTTTCTTAGAACAAAAATATATTTATCCCTGTGTTGAAGTTGCTAGAAGTGATATTTTGTTGAATTACATTAAAGATATTAAGGGTTATCTTGATTCTTATTTAGAGCTTTACCATAAAGATCAACTGTGCTCTAGCACGTCTACACAAATTGGTATATGAGTATATGAGTATATGAGTATATGAGTATATGAGTATATGTATATATGTATCTATGTATATATGTATATATGTATATATGTATATTATGTATATATGTATATATGTATATATGTATATATGTATATTATGTATATATGTATATATGTATATATGTATATATGTATATATATGTATATATGTATATATGTATATATGTATATATGCATATATGTATATATGTATATACGTATATAGGTATATATGTATATATGTATGAATGTATATATGTATATATGTATATATGTATATGAGTATATGTGTATGTATATATATATATGTATGTATATGTATCTGAATATGTCTATGTAAATATATATGTATATGTATATGTATATGTTTATGTATATCTATATGTATATGTTTATGTATATGTCTATGTATATGTATATGTCTATGTCTATGTATATGTATATGTGTATATATATATATGTTGTAATATGATGTAATATGATGTAATATGATGTAATATGATGTAATATGATGTAATATGATGTAATATGATGTAATATGATGTAATATGATGCAATATGATGCAATATGATGCAATATAATGATATGATGTATTATGATGTAATATGATGTAATATGATGTAATATGATGTAATATGATGTAATATGATGTAATATGTATATGTATATGCGTATGACATGGTATGTAATATGTAAAATGTAAAATGTCAACTGTAATAATATATATTTTGTAATGCTTGATAGGTGGTAATGTGTAATATGCCGTATGTAATATGTATTAGTATGTATTAGCATGTATTAATATGTATTAATATGTATTAACATGTATCGATATGTATTAATATGTATTAATATGTATTGATATGTATTAATATGTATTAATATGTATTAATATGTATTAATATGCATTAATAATATGTATTAATAATATGTATTGATAATATGTATCAACAATATGTATCAATAATATGTATTAATAATATGTATTAATAATATGTATTAATAATATGCATTAATAATATGCATTAATAATATGTATCAATATGTATTAGTATTAATATGTATCAATGTGTTTTATTAATATGTATTATTACACACAGACCCCGAGGTTTGCCCAAGCCTAGAATAGCGTAAACTACAAGGATATTTTGTTCACATTATACATATCATATGAATGCTTCTACCCCGCTTAAACTTCTACATTCATTGACAAGATCTTCAGTAAGGGTTTAATTCTTCCACCCCCGTTAAACTTTTACGTTTATTGAAGATCTTCAATGGGGGCTTAATTCTCCCACCCCCCTTAAACTTCTACATTCACTGAAGATCTTCAATAAGGGTTTAGCACATGTTGCTTATGTGGAGCATATTTGTTACCATCATCATCATCATCATCACCATCATCATGATCATGATCATCATTCCCGGACACTCGTTGCGAGTCCGGGCAAACCTCAGGGTCTTGCCGTATTATTAGTGTAATATAGAATATGTAATATGTAATATGTAATGTTTATTATGCACAGTGCATTATGTTTATGTTTATGTCTATGTATCTATGTGCATAGGCATGTATGTATACATGAGTATATGTATGTAAATGCATATGAACGTATGTATGTACGTATATTAGCGCACGTATGTACACATGTATGGATCTATGCATGCCAGATGCCCAGCTTTGCACGTGGACAAGCAAACTGAGTTTCTTGAGTGTATATAAAGATATACAGATATGCATACACAACACATGGGTATATGACAATATCTGACAATATACTCATAATGAGGTGTTTTGAATATATATATATACATATACATATGTATATATGATATGATGTTATGTAGTAAATATTAAATGTAGCTATCCAAACTACCTGTGAATCCAAACTTCAAGGCTCCCATCCCAGGTCCCTCATGGACGCCGGTTTTTTCGGTCCTTGGTCTTCTGCTCGTGTCTCGGATCTCTCGGCTGTTTCGGATGTGGGCGTGGAACTGCAGGAACCCCCGTGGCAAGTTGTGGCATAAACCTACTAGCCTCTGGTAGCTCCATACAAAAAAACATGGAAAGATCCACCTGCTTTTTAATAGGTAAATCAACTATTTCGACTGGGGCCATTTGAAACATAGCAAACTGTAAACGTTTACCGCAGGGTATTTGGGGATGGTTTATACCACCCTAGTGCTTTTTTCTCGATCTTTGCAGATTGGCACCCGGCTGGTGCCTGGACGATGATTGGGAGGACCTTCCAAGAAATTTGGAGGATCTCCCATCTTTTCGATGGCAGTTTCGGTCATTTTTTTGTAGGTCAATCTTCTAATCATTTGTTGATTGATACAGTATCTGATGATGTATATATGTATATATATATACATATATATATATATATGAAATTCACTTGAAAACTAGTTTCAATTCTTCTTCAAGCCATCCATCCAGACACATGGCCGTAACAAACGAGCAATGCCCAGCTGTTCATGGTTCCGTGTTTTGTTTTCCCTCCTTATTTGGGATGATTCAAAGAAGAAAACATCATGTGTGTATACCGGTATACCCCACTTAAATGGCGATTTTTCGGAACAGGATGTGTTAAAGCATGAAATTTGGCAGGGTCCCTTCAATTTTCAGATATGCAGTAGTTTCAGTCTGAAACCGATCAAAACATGTCCCCTCAATCAGACAAAACCATATTTCCAAAACAAAAAAAAAACAAGAACAATCAAGATCTGAACTCACCATTTATAGTGGATGTTCTATAAACCTCCATGGCTAGTTCGTGGATTTCCAGTTGCTGTTGATGACACCGGTGAATCTATGAATATTTCATTATTCTCCCAGTATTATCTTAATCTTTTCCCTATTCAACCATATGAAACCATACTAAATCTCCAATTCTATTCCCCAACCGTTTCGGGTAGCCGGGTAATCCCCCAAAAACCTCAGGAAATCGGCCTTGGCGTTGCACAATCTGCCGCTGGACACCCCGGATGCGCAGAAGCTCTTGGGCTCGGCGGGGAGTTTCGGTGAGATGCGACGCCAGGAGAGCGACGGGTTTGTCATGGAATTTGCTGGGAAACTGTGGAGAATATATGGGACATATATGATTATATATGGGAAATAAGAATGATTATCAATGATTATCTATGATCATAGAATGTCATAGAATAATGATTATTTATGGACATTCATAATAATCAAATATTAAGATTCCATAGAATAATGATTATTTATGTCAATAATATTATGATTATCAATGATTATCTATGATCATATATAGAAATCATTGACAATCATAATATTTGGAGAAGATATATGGGACATATTAATCTGGGCGAATCATAACGACGAAAAAACCCTGTTCTCCCGAAGCCTGGTTCATCATGGTCTGCACATATGGGAAATCATCCCCATAGCTGGCCGTAAGATTCAGGTTTGTGAAAGATTACAATTTACCCAGATATATGATTATATATGGGAAATCACAATGATTATCAATGATTATATATGAAACAAATTCATCCATTGCTGGGAAATATGCTGAAGTCAATAGGATGATTATATGGTATATGGGGAATATTTTTCAGAATCCATGACTTTATGGAGGTTTCCGAGGTTTCCGTTTTGTCATGGTGCCCCAAATCATCCAGTCGTCACGGATGAAACAACCATGCTGATGACTGGGGATCTGCATGACTTTTGACGAAGCCCGATGACTTGAAGATGATTCCAGACTTGTCCGTATGTTCATGTATGTTCTCTTTTTTTAGCACATCTGGGCAACTTGTTTTTATTAAAAAAACGAGTTTTTCCACAGATCTCCACAATTTGTAGCAGTCATTTTCATGGCATCCAAATCAGGAGGAACATTTGCCAACATGGACATTTCCGGCATGTTCTCCCAAAATGATGAATTTCAAGATGGGGAAAAAGATTGATAAACACTGTGATAAACCATTGGACATGATGGTGTTTTCATGTGGAGGTTTCCGTTTTGTCATGGTACCCCAAATCATCCAAGTCATTCGACCATAAAGTAGTATTGAAACCTATGGTGTCTTGGGGATCTAATTTTAAGACACCCCTTTATGAAGAAAACTGAGATTGAAATGGTTGAAAGGCTGAAATGTAGGAGTTTGTTCCGACAAATGGCAGCAACGATTTATCTCATCAGGCACTTCGAGGATCTTTGAAGGGGACACATTTTCAAAATGATCATGACTTGATGTT